TTTTAATTAATTTAAAAAATATATATATATATATATATATAACTGTTAGTTGACCCCGCTTACAATTGTTGTGTTAAGATATATTAGTAAGGTTTAATACTCAATTTGGTCCCTAAATTTTCATTTCAAAACTTAACTCAAATTGTCCTTTAACTTTATTTTTCTATAACCCAAATCGTCTTTCCGTTGACAAATTACATACGGGCACATTAAGTATCCAACAATTGCTACTTTTAATTTTTATAAGCTTACCTGGAAAAACAACTCAGCCAATTGATAACACGACAACAAATTCATTCAACCTCACATTTCCGTCTCTCCCACCTTCTAAATAAACCAGTGGAGAACTGTAGACATTGAAAAAAAAAGGGGAAACTTCTCAAACTTTGCAAGAACAACACTGCAATTTTCAATTGGATTTATCAACTTTTTACAGATGGTATACATGTACCCATCCTCCAAAAGTGAAGAGAAGATCCATGAGAGAGCAATTAATTCATAATTAATTAAGTTATTATAACCTTTAAAAAATATAAAACTAATTGATTCATTAATTGGGTTTTTCATTTTCTGCGACGAGAATGCCAGATTAGATGTCATCTTCATCTTCATCTTCTCTGGCAAAAAACCCATATTAGAATTTGGGTTTCTTGATCAAATCTAGCAAGCAAAAATCGCATCACCATAAAGCAATAAGAACAACCTACAAAGTCAAAATCAAGAATCACATTTCAATACTCCAAATCCCAATACATGGACATAAGAGAAAAACCTAGATCTAGGTTCTCACGGTCAACACCGAAGAAGCTTGGTTTAGGTGGACATCAGAGGGCCTAGGTCTCTTGAAACCTCGAGCCTTTGTTTTTGTTCTCCTTAACCTGCGTCGCTGCTAACAGATCTAACTTGGAAACAATTCATCTCAAGGGAGGCAATAGGGAAAGATGAACATAGAGGAGGGCTAATAGAGGGAAAATAGGATGCTGGAGAATGATGAGGAGGGAGGCGGCTGAAGAAGAAAAGCCACTGTGTGGAGAAGGAGATTTGAGACTGAAGGCGAAGGAATCAAGGGTTTCGAGAAGAAGAATCAAGAGTGGTTCCAGAGGATTTATGGGTCGAAGAAGAAGAAGGAATGGTTGCCGGTTATTACGAGAAGATTTAGGGGTTTTCAAAGAAGAAAGGATCTAGGGTTAAAGGGGAAAAGGAAAGAGAGAGTGAAGCGAAGAATTTGGAAAGGGGAGGTGAGTCTGCATCAATAAAAGGAGGCAATGACATGTTTGCCCCACTATTTTGTTTTATTTAGAAGGCTGGAAGGACAAAAATCAAACGTGAAATAAAAATTAGTGTCATATCATTAATTGACTATGAGTTGTTTTTTTTTACATAGGCTTATAAAAAATAAAAATGGTACTTGTCGGACACTTAACGTGTTAGGTATGTAATTTGTCAACGAAGGGACCATTTGGGTTACAAAAAATAAAGTTAAAGGATGACTTGAGTGTTTTCTGAAGTTAAAAGACGAATTAAGTTTTGAAATGAAAGTTTAGGAACCAAACTGGGTATTAAACCAATTAATAATTACCAAGTATCGCTAAAAATCAACTTGCTTATCATTATATGATGTCGCTCATCATTATATGATGTCGCTCTGACTTGCAACATAGCATGACAACGTGGCTGCCATGGCGTTCAATAGCAATGCCCTCCCTAGTCCCTACCTAGAAATCCAAGAGACAATGAACATCCTCTTTCGGTATGTCAATGTGATCCAATGAGCAACTCATTATTATTATTTTTTTATCAACTGAGCAGTTCCAATTGCAACCCTTGTAATGTGTTGGCATCAGCTAGTGACAGTAGTGTCTCAAAAGCATTGAAATCTATTATTATTATTATTATTATTATTATTATTTTAGTGTGACATCTATGATTATTTTATTGGTACCAGTTCCATAGTTATATTTGAATTCGAAATGGTTTTAACTACCACCTTAGAATTAGTCTCTGCTGTAATGTTGGTGTGGTTTTCTCTTTATGCCTTTTTCAATCCTAGCTACATTATAAGCTTCAATCAGAAGAGCAGAAGAAGATTGAATAATGATAGTACCTGTCCTCGAACCACTAATCCCCTAGTATCTCTCATAATAACTCCAACAGCTGCTTCCATGCTCAGGGTCAAAGGGCCCCTCACATTTGATTTAGACAAATGTAGAACTGACCTTATGTTCTGAATTCAAAAAGATCAAGTATTACTGAAATGCTGTTCTTACGGACTTTAGCAAATCCTAAAAGTGCTCCTTCCCTAAATCAAATCAAAACTAGTAATTAACTTTATAGATTAGGCATGCATTGTTTAAATAAAGATTTTATAGACCGCGTCTAGATAACAGTAGAACTCAAATATTTATGAAGACTAGTGCATGATAATCGCAATTTAACACGAGAAGCAATGTTTTACCACGCAAAATACAAAGAGTGGAAGAATATATTGTCATGTCCTGCTAATTTGGCCTGATTTCGATGCCTTCAATAATGACACCGCCCTTCCAGCGACCATTGAAACGGAAAATCCGTATTTCCAATTTGCCATCTTGACCTCCTTGATTGAAGAATTCACCCAACTCTAGCTCTAACCAACCATCTTCCCTCTCTATTGGATCATTTTGTACATCTTCACCTTCTGCATGCAGAAACACAGTTCGTTGTGAATCTCCAGTTCCACTAAGTTGAAGAGTAGCTTCTATAGGTTCATTTCCAAATCCATAAACTGTGGCTGTCAGCTTAAACACAAGGTATGCCTTATAATGTGTCATTGAAGAAAGCTCGCAAGTACTAATCATTCCATCGATTTCAAACCAACAAACTGCAAGAAGCTCCGCAACCTCAGGGAACCTGTTTGTAATTAAGCATGAATTATAGACATTAATCTTCACATATTTTTTCATTTAGTTGGTGAAGACACTTAAATGCAATCAACTAAATGCTTGAATTCTTTTGGTTGGGTGTGAATGTAAAACTGCGTCATGCATGCCTTTTGTCTGCATTTTCTGTGTGGTGTGTTCATGTATGTGTGTGTCTATGTAAGAGAGACAGAGAGGGAGAGAGACCTGGAATCTGGTACGGAGTTCCAACTCCAATAACGAGGAGTATCACCCCATGTAATTGCGAGGTCCCTGGCAGCTAGCATGTAACATTTCTTCCCACTCCTTTTGTGCAGTGAAAAGCTCTGTGCGATGCAGGTTATATAATTAAAGACTCAACTGGTTCTAAAAAACTTGGCCCAAAAAAAAAAAAAAAAAAAAAACTAGTACTGAAAAGAATAGCTTGGAAAAGAGTAACGATCAAA